AGTGAGAAAGGAGCGTTCCCTAGATGACTGACATACTGCTGCAGGAGCTTAGCGCACGAAGTAAGGAAGTGGGCCTAAAAATAAACGCAGTGAAAACCAAGATGAAACAAAGTAGCTGTCAAATTATAGACAGATGCCAGCTGCCAAATTATAGACAGTTCGAACCGAAGTGAAAAAGGATAATAGTTACATCGTTCTGCACAGGAATTATAATGTGCGCCACAATTTTTGGTCGGAAGTTACATCTGGAAGGACTGCAGGCTGGTGCAGTTTTTCGCGTGGTAGAGTGATGAACGCTGACGAGCGCATTTTCGTGAATAGTCAGACTATTTTTCAGCTGAGAGGCGTGTAGGAAATTGTTACGATCGCGTGAAAAGGTAAATGCTGCTGGACAGGATATGTTGCTCGCCTTGTTGGCTACGGTTGAGTGTCAAGTATTAGTATGTGACATCCAGAAGAAAGTAAATGACCACTCGGACAATACCCGGAGAGATGACGCACATACACTGAACAGCCAGAGGAGCTCGGGATCGACGCAGTTACGCCAGGCGTATGAGGACATTCCAGTAACACGGGATCCCACACACCGATGGTGAGTTCATTGGCACAGAAGAAAATTCGGTGAGTAAATCTGAAACGTAATGATTCTGACGCAGCTGATGTCTTCAAAATGCAGGGGCGTCAGACAGCGGACTTGTCGCGAGACTGCAAGTGGCGCAACTGTGCATTATAAATGGTGGTGGTACTGAAAACTATAAACAATTGAGAAAAAATGTGCGGGGGCCTGTTTTTACTGGGACACGGGCTGTGCAGGCAGCTGCTGGTAATCTTCGTTCGTACGAGTTAAATTTTACAACACACCCTGTTTCGTACAGTGTAAAGTAAAGAAGTGCAGGGTGATACAATTTGTAAAATAACTCCTGCGTCCTTAAAGGACAGTTTGCGCAAGTGAAAACAAAATTGCCCTTCAAGGAACTGATTCGATCCCTGCCCTAGGCAGCTAGCTGATCTCTGTTCATGATCATTTGCTCAGTGCCGGGCATATTTCAAGAATTTCCGGATTATTCTGTGAAGTGGAAGTAAAAATTTCGCCAAAAACTTTATATAGTTGAGTAATATCGAACTGCTCAGCAACTGCAGCAGCACAGCTCAGCTGTTCTCAGATGCATCCTTGAGCAAATCCAGCAATTAAAGGAAAATCTCAATTTTTTCAACCTTTTGCCTCAGCTTTTCGTCCTCAACTGTTGCTCTACATCTACTAGGCTAAGTCGCTAGGATTATCATTCCATTTTAGAAAATGGCACATCCTGAACTTGATGCTAAGCCAGCAGCAGCGAGTGGTGGTGTTGTACACATCAGCTCACACCAGCTGCACACTGCACTGCAGCCAGCTGCATTCTCCTGAGGCGACAGCAACCGGGCGAGGTGTCGGCGCCCTTGACGAACGGCATATTCCGTTGGAGCACAAACGAAAGCGAAAATAGCAAAAAAAAAAGACAAAAAAGTGATGGCGAAGCAAAGTAGCTGAGGGCAAAGAGTGCACACTTCCCGAGTGGATGCCTGATTATTTTTTGCTTGGAATGCAGGGAAGCCGCCCCCCAGGTGGTTGTCCAGCTTGCGCAGCCAATTATGGATCATGTGCGGTGGAATAACTTAATGGGCGCAGCGGCCGATGAAGAAGAGGCGTAGTGAACGGTAGAACATACCCGGGTGGAATACGAGTGCGGTCTGGAAAAGCAGTGCGCACAAGTTGGGATGAGTTGTCGTGGATGTGCTTAGCACAGGAGAAGCTAGGGGTCATCGAATCCTGAGGGAGAAGGGGCGAGAAGCCGCGCGAGTGAGGGACGAGGGAGTGCGGCGAACGGGGCGGGGGTGCAGCTAGCATGCAAGAAGGAGCAACAACAAAAATTTTTTGCATGTATGTACGTTCCACGACGGCGACCGGGAACCAGTGTTGCCGGAGGGGTATAAAAGGCTGCGCTGGGACGTCATTGCGCTGGCGAAAAATGGAGGAGCAGAGGGAACGTGCGTACAAGGCGGTTGCCTATGCAGCCGTCACCTTCTCCTTAATCTCCATTTTATCTGTATGCATCACCATGCCGATCGTCTACAGTTTCGTGGATCACATACAGCAGCAGACACGCAAGGATCTTCAGTTCTGCAAAGTAACAAATTACTTGCTTCTTTCGATCACTGGCTATTCCTATTCAGGCTCGTAGCCCTGAATCGCAGCGCGCCATTCTGATTCTGAAACAAACCGTTTTTTTTTTTTTTTTTTTCATGCTTTCCCACTCCTTTGTCAATTCACTTCAGCTTTTCCCCACTTCCAGTCTCACATTCCCTGATAGTTCTGTTCTCAATTACAGGCTCATATTTGCAGCTGAAACTAGGCCGTCATGGAAACCAAAAAAATTTCATCTCTCAGAAGGTGTTTTTAGTGTGTGTGTGTTTTTTTTTTTTAAATTGATTCTTTATTTTCCGGGTTCTGCCATCGCTTTCAAAGTGCGATAGTTCCCGTTCGGAGCGGCGCCGCATTTCGTTGTCCATAAGTTTTGATGTTCAAATCAATCTTCTGACTTTGTCTATTCCTGCGCACCACGACGCTTTTTTAGTCTATTTAAAAAAGCTTTGCAAAATATTCAGTCATTTGTCGGACACGACCCAAATTTTGCGTCATTTTGCAAAAATGGCTTTCCCTTTCGTGTCGGCCTTCACTTCAATTTTTTTTTTTTTTTTTTTATTCTTTCGGTATCACGCTTTCACATCCATCAGTTCAGTTTGTGAAAAACTAACTGATATAAGCTGGGAGAATTTCATCGTCTTGTGGCTATCGGTCATCAAATCTCAATCACATCTTATATCTTATTTATTTTAATCACTGTATCATATCCAGCAGATCTAAAAGAGAAGCATTTGCACCATCGATAAAAGAAAAGCGCGCAACTTACATTCGCTGAATGGTCATCGACATAGATGTGTGTATACCAAGAATATTTATATATGTACATTCCTATATATGTATATGTACGAATACATGTACCAGGAATATGTATAATACAGTGTCCGGTATATATTATTATAAAGATACATTGACCGACATGTACATATATATTATACTATACACTGACCGAACAGTTGGTGTTGGGATTCTATTTTAGTGATGTTACTGGGATGTTCCTAAATGAGAATGCGTTTCTCATGTGATAAGCTCCGCGGGCTTCTTTCGGTCGATAATGTTCTTCATCTTATATATAAATGAATATGTATTTATATTTGTAATGTGGATGATAAAGACGAATGTAAGAGCCGGTGCAAAGTACTGCTGTCAAGCGATTCTAATTGAAACGCATCTGTAAAGGCCTTCTCTTGTGATAGTGTTGGTACTGTATGGGTTTTTAAAAGAAGCGCTTTTGTAGTCCTCTGCGAGAGACATCATGTCGGAAGTAGCCAAGAAACAGCCGGTGACATTTGCAGCTGCAGCAACAAATAGAACGAGGAGGCAAGTCGGAGCATGCGATAGTAAGTGTTTCTTGGCTCGGATTGCACTCATGTGGAAATTCAAATGAGAAATGTTGCATTATTGGATTGTGCAAATTCAAAAAACAATGTTCTTGGGCAAAATTCTGTAAGAAATGGTATTTCAAAATTTTAGGCTGCTGTAGACCTGGGCATGCCGGGCGACCAGGACCACCAGGCGCAAACGGAAAGCCAGGAACACCGGGAGCTCCAGGACGGCCTGGTATGGCTTTTTTGCACATTTCAGTTAGTTTGTTGCACACCAGTATTTCTGTAAATTTCATTTTATTGAATGTGTTTTTTTAGGAGCACCTGGACGGCCGCCAATAGTTTGTGAAGAGGTCGATATTCCACCATGCAATCCATGCCCGCCAGGACCTCCAGGCCCACCTGGACCTAGTGGCGCCCCAGGAAATCCTGGAAGAGCCGGACCACCAGGCAGGCCAGGAAATAATGGTACGAAATCTTACTTAATTTCTGTAGTTTCACTAGAACTGTTCGAAGTTCACAAATATTCAATTTCTCAAAAATTTCAAGTTTTGAAATATTTCACATTTGCAGCAGTCTGTCTTTTTAATAGATTACAATTTAATAAACTGCGCGTATCAAAGTTTGTATTGACTTTTTGAATGCATTTTCGTAAAAAAACAGCTGTTTAGGTAATGCTGGACCCCCAGGACCTGCTGGACCGCCAGGACCTCCAGGACAACCAGGCGCTGACGGCGAAAGAGGCGAACCAGGAAGGCCAGCGTCCAGTACACCGGTGCTTCCAGGAGATCCTGGACAACCTGGAGAGCCAGGCATGCTTTTATTTTTTTTCAATTTCCCGTAGTGCTGTTGCCCCTCGTTTGACACTAGTTTTCATTTCGTATGGTCGGAAATGAAGTTTATTGGGCCGATTTTTTTTTCAGGACCACCTGGCTTGCCAGGACCAGATGGTAACCCGGGACGTGATGGACAGCCGGGAAGTCCAGGACCAAATGGACCACCTGGTCCGCCAGGGCCACCTGGAAATGCTGGTGCGAATGGAGAGCCGGGTGCACCCGGTCAACCAGGACCACAGGGAGAACGGGGTATCTGTCCGAAATACTGTGCACTGGATGGTGGTGTATTCTTCGAAGACGGAACACGAAGATGATAAAGTGATGTTGATGTTGACGATGACGATGATCCAGACACAATATCATGTTGTTTGCTGTACACTTGAATGAAGTACGCTTCTGGTGCTGCTGCGCGCTGCTTATTAGTAGTTCAAAAAAAAAAATCGTTTCATTATTAATAAAGCAAATTCCCAAAATGTTACGTGTACATTTGTTCAAAAAAAAAAATCCACATTTTTGTTTGGGATTATTACCAGACTGTGTCTGTGCATAAGGGTTGTGTGTTTGTGTGTGTATGTGTGTGTGTGTGAGTGATGTCCATCTTCTCAGTTGTATCCGGCAGCAGTTAAAAGAAGGCGATGGCTGGATGCCAGCCCTCTTCTGTCCGAGGAACCGGTTCTTGCGGTAGTCACTGCTTCGCCGCCAATCACACAAAACGTTCCTCACACCATTTCTGGGCGAGACAAAACGGAGAACGTGCTGTTTACGCATCATCGAAAGGGGGGCTGCTGCTTGTACTAGAGAGACAAGGACTAGAATTTTCTTGGAAGTAGTACATCCAGCTGATGGTGGCAGGTTCGGATCGATGAGCTCCAGGCGCGCGCGCACAACCACCACCCTCACTCACCGATGCATCATCATCGTCATCAGCAGCAGCAGCAGCAGCAACAGCAACAACACCCTTGTCGTGAATCTAGGCAATAGGCTTAATAAATGTCGTCGTCGTTGTCGCCGCGGCCACCACCGATGTCCCAGTGCCGCGCCTGCTTCAATAAATGAGCCGTGCCGCATATCCAGCGGCAGCAGCAGTATCGGCAGCGCCCACTGGTCACCAGCAGCCATCCTCCAATAGCACCTACAACGCCAGCTGGCTGCCCGCATCCCATCGCCGGAGCGGCATCGTTTACGCGCTCGTCATCCGTTATTATTCAGGCTGCCGGGCCCGCCGCTGTTGTTATATTATTATGATTGTTCTCAGCAGTCAGCTCCTGAAAAACTAGTATGCTAACGATTAAGCGGTAGATCCATGCCGCTCTTCAGAAAGGATAAGGATAAAAGACAATCCGAGCGACGCGCTAACATCCGGGAGCGCTACGATTTCAAGGACGTCCTGGGTACCGGTGCTTTCTCGAAGGTACGCCCGTTCAAACTTACTCGCTCTCTCTCTCGCTGGTGCAGCTCTGCAATAGCTCATATTTGAAATAAACGCTTTCAATGTATACTTTTACAAAATGAAATGATTTTTTGAGCTCTGAATTCCTTACCCTCCCCACTGTCTTCTGTGAGAATGCGCCGTGGCATTAGCATACTGTTCGCTCGACTCAGTGGCGCTAGCAAAGAACTTGTGCCTTATTTGGAAGTAGGCTCCCCCGGTCCTTCTTCAAGCTTACATCGAGATATGCCCGAATTTGCTGCGTAGGAACAAAACGCGAGAAACTGGATGAAACAACATAAAAGGTTGCTTTGGATGCATTTACGTCAGTACAGCGCCGCATTATGGAATCCAGCCCCGGGCGGTGTGTAGGTTAGCGCAAAAGCTGTACGATTTTGCTTTAAGAATGTCTATATATATATATGCGACCACGCAAGAAAGTAAAATCCGACGGGCAGGGCTTTGCCAACAGCAAGTGGACGTTGCGCATTAGTGAGCGGCACCCGCGAGAAAGCAAACAACCGCTCGGCGACCCCTCCCCCTCTCGTGAGGAGGTGGCGCAGCTACATCGAACAGGCAGTGATGACTAACTGGAGGTATGCAGCCAGGATCGAAAGGCCTCGCAAATAGCTGGGCCCTGGCGTCTGGGAACATTCCAGTAAGCTCAGTAACATGGAATACCCGCACTAATGCCTTTTCAATCTCGGCATTTTTGGTATATACACATATGTATATGTTGGTGTGGTGTTCGGAAGAAATTTACTCAAGGACTGCGGTATAAACGCAGTACACAGGCATGCCCTGGGGCCATAACCTTGAAGTGGTAGGCCTCATTGCTAGACTTTTCACACTACAAACCCAGGTATGGATTCAACATCGTATCTGGGCACGATAAAATTTAGCAGTTAACGCCTGTTTAGAAATAAACTGTTAAGCACTGGTAGATCAGCTAGGTGCACATAGAGTTATGTGATTCTTTGCGAAATGTCAAGTGAGGAAAGTCAGCTTTCCTTCTTCTTCGGCTTGTTAAGACCCACAGCTAAGCAGCAAACTGCAAATATGTAATTTGCAAGCACGAGCTGAGCTGAAAAATCATCACATTCCAGTTGTCTGTTGCATTTGCTGGCATATCATTCATGCATTCTGCTATCCCTCTCTCTAAAATCCATAATCGCTGGCTGAGACACTCAGCAGAAATAACCAGGTGCGCCCATCCGTGCTGGGCGATGAGAGAATTCCTCAACATGCATTTGTACACATCAAAAAAGCAGTAATTCGTTGCAAAATCGAGCCATGGCACTGTTTGGAGCCAGTATTACTGCCGGCTTTCGGACCAGTTCCTGGACGGTGTCCTGGAACCAGCGGATTTGGTTGCCGCTTGCTGCCCGTTCGTTAATGGCACGCACCGTTGGAGATGGCATGGCTGTCCATCCTGTCTTCGCATTCTTCCTGGAAGCAAAGCATGCAGCATTTGATTTATAACTACAGCTTTTTCCCGGGAGCATCTATGTTTTTTTGCGATGCAACAATTTGTTTTCGTTGACGATCACTTCTCATGGATGCTGCCTTCCCTCCCTTCACCTTTCCTCTGTTAACAAAACTTTTGTAGGTTTTCGGTTTCCGTCCCACTTCCGCCGTTTTTGTCTCTCATCCCGTACAAACAGCTTGTCAGCGCGAACAAGTTCGCTGTGCCGGTGCGACCATGTGATATCCGTGAGAACCGTTTTGCATTAATTACGGGACATACACGCAAACCGAACACAGCACACTGATAAAGGCACTTCGAGTTACAAATCACTTGCGCTAACGTGTTTTTCCGCAATGAATCTCTCAAGAGCGCATGATGGGTGCCGAAATCGAGCGGCGACGTGCCCCATTCTAAACATTCCGTCGTTTCCGGTACGATCGATAAGGCGCAGTCAGGAGGAAAAAACACCTTGACGCACTCAAAGGAGAAAAAGCATATGTGACCACTGATGAGCAAACACTTTTGACAATTTTGCGGGAAATACATGTTCAGCAAGCATTTTTTTAATTCACTGATAAACACTTCAAAAATAAAAAACTCCTTGATATACTATGATGGTTGGCAGGTATGGGGCAGTGACAGATTGAACATCTTTCCTCGTGCAAAAGACCGACGATTAGACCTCGCCAACCAATCCCTCTACAATTCGTTTATTCGAAAAACTGATATAAAGATACACGAGGGAGTTAAACTCGCCAACAGCTTATTTCTAAGCAAACCTTGAAAGAGGGAGACATCGACAGCCTTGCCAATGAATGGTTGCCCCTGAAGATGCCCTGTCATTGAAGTTAGTTCCGAATGCATCCGCTTCTCATAGGGACTAAGTTGTGAAGAAGATTTTCACCTTTTCATCTAGCTGCAAATACAAAATGTTAGAAAAAAAATATTAAAGTGCTACTGGAAAGTGAGTTAAATGCGCATGCGCACGACAAAGTCGAAATGTTCATATGTCTTCGCGAAATGATTCTTTTGACAAACAGTGATCGGATACGTTAATAGGTTGCAGAATATGGCTTTAGTTCATTATCATTATCACTGTTATTAGCATCATCTCAGTCACCATCATCACTATCGTTATCATCATCTCTTAGCCTATTCATTGCAAGTGCCGGGGCTGAAGTGCACGATAATTGCTCTATTCTGGAGTTTTGTACTCCGATGTGCCTCCCAAAGAATAGCTATGACAGAATTCAGTCGTTTTTATTCATAATCTGGTAAAACAAGCCTAAAAATATCGGATTCACGGCGCTTTGCAATTCGTTCAGTTTGCGATTCGTGAGATCAGCCTGAATTTCTGAGATTCATGGGCCAAGTATTTGGGATCCGGCCATAAGTCATTTATCCGCATTATTTTGAATTATTCGGACGTGATTCCATTCTCACCTTGTAAGAGTGCTCGGAGATGACCGCAGGTTTTTGACCTCGAATGTATTCAGTTACGTTCTAGTTGTAGTTTTTATGCGTTTTTTGCAGCTATGCAATGCAGGAAACGCATACTGACGAGGGGTTGTCTGTGTGTGCGTTTGTCACGGTTTTTCATCTCAAGACCTGCAAAAACTGCAGGATTGAAACTTTGGGAACTTAATCTACATGCATGTACGGGCCCCAATCCCCAAAATGGGCACCATTACCCGCGTGGTACCCGCGTACGGGCCTGCCAGAATTTTCTTCGGGTAAGTTCAAAACTCGGGGATATGAGAAGCTAGAATGCTGAAATCTTAGGGGATTTTCTCCGTCCAAGTGGGTATTAACGAGATTAAACCCTGCCCGCGGGTAAGCGTGGTACCTACGTACGGGCCCGTGAAAGTTCCTCCCTGGTAAGTTGCTAACTCGGGAACATGAGGAGCTAGAAGACTGGAATTTTGAAGGAATGTTTCCTGACAATCCTGGCGGCCAGTCTGCAATTCTTTTAGCTAGAAGCATCAGTCGGAAAACCAGTGCCAGCGACAAAAATCTGCGGGAAGCTATGCAAAAAACGCATCTTCGCACGAGCAGCCCGTGCGTCG